CCATCTTCATCATTATCACCATCATCATCACCATCATCCTTATCATCATCACCATCCTCATTATCATCTTCATCACCATCTTCATCATTATCACCATCATCATCACCATCATCCTTATCATCATCACCATCCTCATTATCATCTTCATCACCATCTTCATCATTATCACCATCATCATCACCATCATCCTTATCATCATCACCATCCTCATTATCATCTTCATCACCATCTTCATCATTATCACCATCATCATCACCATCATCCTTATCATCATCGCCGTCGTCATCATCATCATCAACAACAACTTCATCATCATCTTCATCATCATCAACAACAACAACTTGACCATTGTGTCCCCACTACAATGTCACAGCATGTAAAAACTTCATTATTTTTATCTAAATAATGAAAATATCCACTCGGCCCTTCAATAATTTTAATTTATCACTATTCAAATCTCACTGACAACTTCTTTCAACTTAAAACTAACAAACAGTCGAACTGGCTCGTCGTTCGAAATTTACTGCGATGGAAACATTGCTTTGTGCTAATTAAATATTAAATAATAAATATATCTATAGTATTTAAAAATATATATATAAATATATATAAAAACATATAATATATAAAAATATATAATAAATAAAAATATATAATATATAAAAATATATCTAAATACAACTCTTTCGCCAATGCACTTGAGGATGGGCTAATGATACATTTGATTCGATTATTCGATTCTATTTTATTTATTTAATTACTTATTTTTTTGAAACATTTTATTACAATTTATTCTCATTATTTGATTTTGAATTTCGAGAAATAAGAGAGTTTTTATTATTATTATTATTATCATAATCATTATTATTATTATCATTATTATTATTATTATTATTATTATTATTATTATTATTATTATTATTATTATTATTATTATTAACCTCATTCTAGGACCTAAAGATACGCAGTACGATGCAAATTTATAAAAATTTTTTATAGCAATTGAGAGTCTTTATTTTGGTTAAAATTTTGTTTTCGTTCATTCAATCATTCATTCCTTTTTTGTCTTTTTTTTACAATTTTCATTCATTTATTGATTCACTGATTCATTCGTTCGTTCGTTCGTTCGTTCGTTCATTCGTTCATCCGCTCGTCCGTTCATTCGTTCAGATCTGCAGTCTCACTAGCTACCTCAAAAATGGAAGATAAGCACAAATACAAACAAAGGTGTTTTTTAAACGATCGCTCATTGGCTGAGCTATTTTTAACTTTATGTTACCCTACTTCTGATTGGCTGATAGTAATTTTATAACAGGGTATAATCGCTAGGATGATTGGATGCTATTAATAAAATTAATTATTATTTAACAAATTAATGATAATTTTATACATTTATTTTTAGACTTAACAAGGTTTGAACGAGTGAATGAATAAATGAATGGATGGATGAATGAATGAATGAATGAATGGATGGATAAATGAATGAAAATTTATTAATTAATAGCTACCCGCACCACCACGTTAGTCCTTGCTATTTGTTAGTATTAATTCATTCATTCATTCATTTATTCATTCATTCATTCACTCATTCGTATTTTTGTTCAATCAATTACTAAACAGTAATTTTTACAATGTTAATGTAATAAAAAATGTTATTAAACATGGAGAGGGACGAGTATATCAGTTTTATAGTTTGCCTCCGGGGCGTAAAATACCCTGGCTACAACTTTGCTCAAACACGTTAGTACTCAGAATAAAATGACTTACACCCAAGTCTCACAAGACGCCCTCAGTAATAGCAACTGGAG